AAAAAAAAAAAAAAAAAAAAAAAAAAAGAAAAAAAAAAAAAAAAAAAAAAAAAAAAAAAAAAAAAAAAAATAGTTTGAAAAACTTTTTCTCAACAGACGTCACGATCTCGCGGTCCACCAAACTGAAGATCATAAATTCCATAATAAGGGACGGAAGGATCACCGACTGCATACGAAGTGGACTGAAAGTCTCCAGGTGATCAGATAGTCCTTACGTGTTCCACGGGTTAAAGGCGAACGCACGCAGCATCTTCCAGACTCGAGAAGCGGCGGGATCCTCCAAGACCAGGACGAGAAGCAAAAGGATACTTGGGAATGGGCTAATGGCGGAATGGGGTCGACTGGTAGGTTGGAATGCAGGTAGAAACTGCGGCACCTTCAGTGAACTGGTTCCTGCTCCTTCTCAGGAATGGCATTATACGCCGGGACTCGCGACTTTTCATTGGGCCTGAACTCATAAGAATTATCCTTCAGGATTTCTGAGAAACGTTCAAGGACACGTGGCAAATTATAGTTATGATCCATTTGGCTGAAGATCATGCGACGGCGCAGTCGAGGAGTAAGAAATTTTCTTTTAAATATCGGGATCCGAAGACGAGCGGGGAAACTCATTTGAGTACAATGGCCCTGGAGCCCAGACTCCGGTCGGATTAGTTCAGGAGCAATGGCGTAAACGCGAGCCCGATTGGTGGATCGGTCCCCAGACTCGGTTGGCTGCCTTCTGGCTGGGACCAGCGACCGGTTTCCTGGACAAAGCAGGAGCTGCTGCTCCCATCAGCGAGAAGGGAATCGGGTATCCTCTGCTGGCGCATGGCTACCCTCTTGTTATATAGCTAGGTTACCTGTGGATATGGTATACCTGGTGCAAGCGTCGAGGACTAAGGAAAATGCATTCGGCGAATAAAAGGGAAGACAAGGAACTTACGAAGGAGACTGTTTCTCTATCGACTGTGCACGTTCCCATTGGCTCCATTAGATTGGTCATTTTGTCCTAAAGAGGATTCCGTTTTAATGCCTTCCCCCATTGTATACGGTCCTGGGCGCTCGTTGTGTCACCGTCTCTTGGAAATGCAATCGCATCTACCTAGTGTTTCATAATATTCACTCCTCACGACTAGACACACTATATATATATATATATATATATATATATATATATATATATATGTATACACTTCCCAAGAACGAGATACAGCAGTATGCAGACAATCGTTTCTATAAAAGAGAAACAGTGACGGTTCTTCGATTCTCTGAACGGTCTTCATTACCATAACTATGATAGTCAAAATAAGAGAAAAAAAAAACTTACAGACAGTTTCGTGAATGTGGACAGTTTAGAATTCTTAATTATGTATAAAAGCAATGTATAACTGTGGCTAAGATATGAGAGCTGAACGGTGTGATTTATGTAATAGACTTTTTCTTTAGTATAGTTATAAGTTTTGTAAACCCAGGTTAGGTTACGCACGGCGGTAAAGGAGATGCCAAGACGAAAATACACGTGAGTCGAGTATAACAGAGTGTAAGGGTATAAGAGGTGCATCGTTGCCCAAGTAGTTTCTTTGTTGCACCAGACGAGGAGGAGGTTGAGGTTGGCAAGGCCATTCCGCCCGGTCCGACCGGTCAACCGAGCCTCGCTGAACGACCGCCAAGATGTCTAGGATCTCGGGGTAGGGTTAAGGACCCTTGACTCCTGAACTGGCTAGTCGCACGTTCGGTACGATCGGTAAAAGCCCGATCGCAAAGTAAATCGCATTACTTTAACTGCGCGAACTACCACATTCCAATTCCGCCATTATACGTTTTTCATTCCGCGTGCACTTCGTCCCGTCGAGAAATACCGAATACACTTTACGACGACAGTACGAACGTTGAGGCTACGCCGAATAGCGTTGCCAAGGCAACGGAAAGGTTCCGCTCGTTGTTGACAGTCGGAGAGACAGCTGGCGCCGCGTAGCGGCGACTGAGGGAAACTGAGGGTTACGCCGTAGTCGGGTAAAGTTAGCAGCGTTTTAGCAACCGCGTAACTGGCTCTTCTTTATTACTGGCTTCTTTAATTATCACAAGACGTTATCTTAATTACGTGGCTATATCTACCAAGTAACAATCCCCAACTTTTAGACGACCCTTTATCCAGTCTATGTACAGTTACGGGCATTGTCAAACTCAAGGCTAAATATTGGACGACGTTTGCTTTTCTTTCCATTCTGGTTGACATATCTGAATTACTTAACTTGAAACTTTTTTTTGCTTTTTACCTCGTTACTTCTACTCTTCAGCTGGAATTGTCTGCTATGATTTATCGTCAATTTATCCAATGCGCCAGAGGACAGCTATATTACCCTGTCCCCTTGTACGTGCACTTGTGGCGTTTCGTATGTATCTCGAAATGGACAACGGTATCTGCTTATCGTAGGAGTCGAGCGAGTAATTGCCACGGGGAAAGTACGCGTGCATAATTAAGCGCTCAGGGCGATTGGCCAATTACCTGTCTGATAATATCGTGCAGCTCACGTGAGATTTTGATGGATAGCACTCAGGATTCCGGTTACGTTCAACGTATGCATGTAGAATTCTATACAGAGATGCGACATAGGGGTTACACTCTTTAGTGGCCTAAGCTACAACGGGCACTTAAAAATTGTTTACAGGACGGTATAGGGGACGTTTTTTTTTTTTCCAGAATACAACTGACAGGCACCATAACCATACCTGTCTATACGTACAGATAAGATTATCCGTATCTAAAAATGGAGACGCCACCGTATGCCGTTTACTGGCAGGTCCATAAGTGGACGAACAATGCCTTGGAAAAGTGTCACTGGGCTGGCGACCATACTTCTTTATGACATGCGATACCTCGGACCCGCATGTATACACCGACGATAGGAAACTTTTCAGGGTGAAACTTCCGGCCACCTGGTGGCTCCTTGTTGTACCTTCCTCAACATTGTCATCCCTATGGGATTCCTATGGGCCTGATACTAGAGGCATTTACTCCCCTTCAGTTTATCCTGGATGAAAGGGTTTTCCTGTGAAACTGCCTCAAGTGTTACACGCAGTCTCCGTTACCCGGACGCGAGGATTACACGTGGCTTTATACAACTTGACGAAGTGACAGAAACCCTGGTTGCCGGAGGTGAAATTTTGCGAAATTGCTTTTTCGTCGATTTACGAATTTACAAAATACGAAGGACGTGAAAAATAAGCGAGTGCCGATAGAAGGAGCTATGAAAAAATATCGAAAAATTTTTTTTCCGATTTATCGAAAATCACGTTTATCGCGAATGGGAAATAATGCTAAAATTCGTATTCGAACGATTCCAGGAAATTTCGTGCCACCGGTATCAAGAATTTAACGGGATATATAATTCATTTTTTTGTTAACCTTCGTCTCTCTATTTGGTCGGCCAGGAAAACGCTGTTGCAAGAAACAGAGATGACAGAACGTTCGGTTGCGTATAGCGTAGGCGTTTGTGCGCGACAAGAAGCACGCAAGTAAGGCGCGTGCGAATGCCCGTTTCCGTGTTCCAATTATACTATCCCTACTGGGTCCACGCGGTTCCCCAGTAACCAGCTGTTCGTTACACGGGTAGGCAAGGTTTGACCGTAGGGCGTGGGATATTTCTCCAAAAATTTATTGCCACATTTTCATCTACGTTTTCAAACGCCTCGGCGAACTCTGGGATTAAATAATTTCGATCTTGCGAGAGCCACGTTATACGTATTTTGAGGCCAACCAGACCGGAAATCAAAAACCGGGTAACATCCGGTACACGTACCACACGTATATCTCTGTCAAGAACCCGGCGACTGAAAGTAGTAAAAAGTGAAAAAAAATGCATAAAAAAAAATATATGTGAAAAGAAAAATGAAAAGGAAAATTTCGCAAACTGCTACTGCCTCGTCATCTAATTTCTTAATTAGTCGCTTGCTGGGTCCTCCCATCTCCTTTCGGAGTTCAACGGTTTCAAGAGTTCAGTCGAGTTACCAACTAATTTCTACTTGCTCCTCTGCATTGCCTCCGCTGCGCCTCTCACTGCTAACATTACACATTTCTGAGGTAGCATTACGGTGTTGCTGGAGTCGGGAGGAGTAAGAGGCGAAGAGAGTATCTCACGAGAAGTGGACCAGCGACCGGGAAATAGAAGACGATGAGTGAAGTTTGTAAGAGAAAAAAAAAAAAAAAAAAGAGCCGTAAAGAAGTGACTCCCAGTGAAGTTGCCGGTAAAAAAAGTTCTCCGAGTATGACGTCACTGGTACCGCTTCTTTGCTACGTAGCTACCTTATTAGTGCAACCAGCGGATCTTTTTTTCTGCTCTTTCAAGTCAATCGTACTTGGTATATTTATAGACGTTTTTAATATTTTTAAAGGAAATGGTAATTTACAATGGTATATGACTTTCGCGCTGTGTTCCATGTTTTTGTCTCGTAGACGTTTTTTTTTAATAAGCAGCAAAAACTCCTATAGGCCCTGTTGGAACAGGGCTCTGGTCCTTTCTGGAGTCTGGAAGTTGCGATGGACATCGCGCACACGACCCTTCGCATAAATGGGAAAGGATTCTGGCCGAGGCTGACGGGGCAGGTTTAGCCTTTGTTACTCATCGGGGAGTCCTAAAGGGTTACAAACATATGTACGGGAACGAGGTCTGTGTACTTGCCCAGCCATTGGGCCTCACAAAATCACTCCCCCCTTGCTCCACGTGGACCCTCCAACGCATTTAGTAATGAACGGGAGAACTTTGTGAAATTAATGGATAAAACAGGGAGATGGCCCCGCTGTCTCTCCCTGGCACCTGCTTTACTTAGGGGATGAAAGTTAATTTTTTTTCTACCTTCATTTACCGCTTAAATTTTACCCAAGGCAACCTGATACGATCCGAGAGGTAGAAGGCGGATGGGGAAAACAAAATTTTGCGATTGGAATTTTTTTTGGAAAATAACGAATGAACAATTTCAAGGGGGTTGATCCTCTCGTCGCGAAATATTAAAAAAACCAAAAAACGGGTTATCGGATAAATTTTAATGGAGCGACAGGTGGCTCGAGGAGGACCAATCGCGTCTCTCGTCGGCATCACAGCGAGGACGAACGAAGGGATGGAAGTTAATCCCGATGAAAATAATAGCCTACCCTGGCTAATAGCGATCTACGTAGATCCTGCGATGATTTACACGGGATCGATTTGATGGCCGGCATTGATATATATCGCGGGTGAATTAACCTAACGCCTCTGTCCTTCGGTTACTTAGGGGCTGCTTTATTCTCAGCTGGATCCGGTCCGCCAAATTGGATCGATCATTAATCATCCAACGATGAACTTTGCGATCGTAGATCATCGACGCTCGATTACTAATTATTAAAAAGTGTCAAAATTATTTATCCACCGATGATCGATGATCCCCCTCTATCGTAGATCATTAGTTTTTGTCAAAAAAAATATGTCCTCTTCCAATGATACAGAGCTAGGACCAGTTACGTCTTGGTAAAATCCAAGAGGGATGTACGGCAAGACGGTAGAGAGGCGAAATTCGCCAGCTGATAAATACGCGAAGTTAGATAAGCTCAAGGCAGTATCTCAAAGAGCGACCGCACCGGACGTCCCTACAAATCACCTTTCCGCAGTGCCGTACACGGCTGGAGTAAAAAGCTCAAGCTTTTTCCAGCGACCCCTGCCGATTCATTTTCACCATAGCTATTACTATAGATACGAAATTTAAATTTCCCGCGCATTCCCGCCGGACCGACCCCCGCAGCTACACGTGCATAACCCAATCCAATAAAGACGCCGGACGCCGGACTAAGAGACCAAGAGGAGCTTCCGAGGGTTTTCAGGTCGCGCGGGAACGCCGGCTGCCGCGCAAGCGTCTCTATCGATTGCAATCGTTATTAAGTTGATACAAATTCTAGCCCAGCCCAGGAGCGTACCAACCCCTGGGGGAAATTCCCTTTCCGAAGCCACCGGAGCGCCAGGGCCCTTTGTACGAACTGAAGTTAGACACTAACGATACGTCAGGCCAGGGGCGTACTTAGGACGAGTTTTACCTGAAAGGGTGGCCCCTTTGAACGGGGCACTCGGAGTACGGTCAAAGCCGTACAATTTCCGGCCCTGTATACTCGGCAGCCGGAGTACGCTCTAACTTTGCCCCCCGTGTTAATTTCAAATTATTAAAACGTCCATGAAGTTGGAGTCGCGTAAACAGCCGATAACAAGTATTCCCCGGTTACAGGCGTCTCGCGGAAAATTATGTAAGGCTCCTCCAGGGGAGAGGCAGCGAAGGGATTACTGCTTCAAAAACCGTGAAGCTCAGGGAAGGAGCGTCAAACGCTTCACCAAAATTCACCTCTGAGCTTCCATTTTTCGTGCTGGCGCCAAGTCTTTTCTCTTTTCCAAATGAAGCTACCGGAAGTGTCGAGTCAATTTTTCATCACCGTCCAAATTGAAGTCCAGCGACTCCATAGGGGTGGCACTATTAATGGGACCAGTTTGAGCTTACGAGGGGTCGAGTCTGTTGGCGTTGACCTTCCCTTGCGCCGGCTCGCCGAAATGTATTTCTGCCAATGACAAATTTCGTCAGACACGAAAGAGGAAAAAAGATCGGCAGTAGAGTAAACCAGTGACTTTGAAAAACTGTGCTAAGATTCTAAATTATTAATTGCAAAGATCAAACCTAATGAAATAGCAGAAATAAATATAGACCTGTCACGTGTACAGGAGCACGTGGGGCTTCCGTCAATAATACGTGGGGTTTCTCGTGGTACCAATTCGTCGTTCCATATGCCAATGCATACGGTTACTGAGCTTTCACTTTTTTACTATTTTTTTTTTTCAAATTTTCATTTCCTATCCCTCAAACACTTCCGGTCGTGCCAGGAGCGTCTCGTGCATATATTTTATATAATAAAAAAAAAAAAAAAAAAAAAAAAAAAAAAAAAAAAAAAAAAAA